CTCCTGCTCCTGCTCCTGCTCCTGCTGCTGCTGCTGCTGCTGCTGCTGCTGCTGCTGCTGCTGCTGCTGCTGCAACTACTACTGCTACTACTACTCCTCCTCCTCCTCCTCCTGCTGCTGCTGCTGCTGCAACTACTACTACTACTACTACTACTACTACTGCTACTCTTACTACTACGACTCCTACTACTCCTACTACTCCTACTACTCCTACTACTCCTACTACTCCTACTACTCATACTACACCTACTACTACTACTACTACTACTACTACTACTACTGCTACTCCTACTACTACGACTCCTACTACTCCTACTACTCCTACTACTCCTATTACTCCTACTACTCCTACTACTCCTACTATTCCTACTACTACTACTACTACTACTACTATTACTACGACTACTACTACTACTACTACCACCACCACTACTACTACTACTACTACTACTACTACTACTACTACTAGCCACCCCTTTCTTACCAATTATATGGCGCCTAAACCCATCGTTATCATCATCGTTGGTATTGACCACAACATCACGAAAAGATTGTACATACCACATAACATGTGATCGCAAAAAAAATACGTCACGTGTATCCCCGCGCAAAGCGTGCAGGAACGCAGGCAGCGTAGGAGTCTCTTTTTACTACAGGCGCACAGCTGCACATCGCACTCTGCTAGAATGGCACATCGGTTGCATCTGTCTTGGCAGAATCAGCCATCTCACCCTGCGGTAAGTTCGCTGACTCGTCCTTGACATCGCTTGAGGTGTCCATTGGAGTCTCGGCGGCGTCCATTGAAGTATCGGTGGAGTCCATAGGAGATCTCCTCGACCACAAGGAGCTTCTCAAGGAATTCCTCCACCGCAATGTCCTCACACGCAGGAGTGTAGAGTTCCTCCAACTCGGAAGCCCTCATAGCCTTCAAGCTCTTAAAGGCGATGAGATCAGACTTGGCTTTCCGCGCAAAGGCGGATTTGAAGTCTTTTTACAACGGTTGCCTTAAGAGTCTTGTCGAGACTGGTGAGGATGTAAGGTACATTGAAGCTTTTTTGAGTGCAACCCATGTTTTTTCGTCGCGCCACGAGGGATCTTGCCAGTGACTGTCATGAAATTGTCCTGCCAGGCATCCGTCTGATCATCGGCAAGATTTGGCCTGCCTTTCCTCTTCTTGAACAAGCGTCATCAGCAAGATTTGGCCTGCCTCTCCTCTTCTTGAAGAAGCGTCTTCCCCCGGATCCTTTGCCACCTTTTCCTTTGCCTTTGCGGCGGCCCGTGAATCCACGCTTCATCTTCCGACCTTGCAATCGTCGCTGGAACCACGTGTAATTCTGTTCGTCGTAGATCCAGAAGGTATCATCATCGGTTTCAAGGAACCCTTCTGCGCCATCCTCTTCATCCTCGACCTGCCCGCGTGATTGTCCAGATAGCCGTCTTCGTTCACCAGAAATGTATTCCGGCAGCCATGACCTGAGGGGGCGAGGAGAGGATTATCGACGGAAGGTCTTGTCGTGCAGAAGATCTCCAGATAGACCTCGCGAAGCTCGTTCAGGCGGTAGTCTACCAGCACGCGGTTCCTATCGGCCATTAATGAAGGCAACACCTGTCCTGAGTAAGGTCGGACAGGGAGACAAAGAAGAGGGCAACAAGGTTGGCCGTGATCGGAATGGTCTGAACCTCTCATTAGCTCTGTGCATCGCCTCTTCGGGATCAAGATCTGCTTGCTCTTCTGCGAAAAGTCCTGCTATGAATGCTCGGACCTCGGCGTTATTCGGATCCGTGATTGAAAAGTAGGTATCATTCCAGGCTTCTTGCATCCTCTGAACAGAGATGTGGAATCTGGTAATCCAACGAAGCATGTCTCCATTACCGCGGTGCAGTTCATGAACTGCTAGAAGCGGTAGAGGAAAACAGTGGCCGCGCCCTTCACAAAGAGCGGCCGCAGAAAACTCTTGAAGTACTTCTCACTGCGTTGTTCGAGTCCTTCAGGCGCTCTCTGGCCAGAACTTGTGAATAACGCTTCACCTTCAAAACCAAAACGTTGCGTGAAGGAGGTCCGCACGTGTCATTGTCCAACTCAGTGATATCACACGTCATCGATCACATCTTCATAAGCAAACCAGTTGCTTCGCTAGTCACAGGACGACGGTACTTTGGTGGTCACCTGTTGACAAGTTGAAAGTCGGTGCAATTCTGGAAGATGGCGGTGATTCGCCGCATATGCTGCATTACCTTGAAGTAATGATCATCTCCTTCTTCATCCTCATACGGAGCAGCAGAGTGGCTAGCCGGCTAGCCATGGCTCTGTCCACGGATCGAACCCGGGAGATTCTTCTTCCGTTTATTTTCACCTGTGTGAAGTGTACCGGAGAAACTCCGATCACCTTCACCTGTGTGAAGCACACCAGGGATCCGGTTGCCTCGACCTGCATGGAGAATACCAGTGGGTAGCTCCACAAGGGTGAAGCTTCCCGTTTTCCCGGGAGTTCTGCTACCACGTTGAGATGTAACCTGAGTGTATCCTCTTGCAAAGCGTACAGGAACACAGGCAACGCAGGAGTCCTTTTTTTTAATACAGCGCACAACTGTAGATCGTACTTTGCTAGAACCTTGAGCAGCAGGCATGGATACAAGCAAGTGATACGTGAAACAGACAGGCACCTGGATGTGTAAAACAGAACAGCGGTGGTTGGTATTGGACAACGACATCACGAAAATACTATAAATGCCGAATAAAATGGATGTGCGCTTAAACAGTGTTTAGTTGGTAGGTTCAGGGGGCGCCTCCTACTACTGCTGCTGCTGCTGCTGCTGCTGCTGCCACCGGTCACCACTACCACTGCTACTCCTACAACTACTACTACTACGACTACTACTACTACTACTACTACTACTTCTTCTGGTACTACTACTATCACTACTGCTACTACTACTACTACTACTACTACTACTACTTACTACGACTAACTACTACTAACTACTGCTAACTACTGCTACTAGTACTACTACTTCTACT